CATCTCATAATTCACACTTCAAGGCGTAACAACCTTGTCGTAATCCAAGGATACAGCTGAAAAGCTGGTCCTGGAAGAATTACAAACGTTAATCGTGTAGTGTGGTCAGTAATGGCCTATACGTCAATAATAATAATATTATACTTCCCTTAATTGATATCCAAGGCTAGCAGCCGAAAGGTTGAACCCAATAATTCCAAACATTGGTCTGTCCAGGATAGAATACCACTGGACTTCGAAGAGAGAAATGTGTTGCGTGGTTATATTATATTACATTATATTGTATATAGTATATAGATATATAAATAAATATACAACGTTATTGGATTAAAGCTGATGTTTAATTTGTTATTTGAGAGCATTTTGTTTGTTGTTCTTGAGCAGAGTGCGTGACACATTTTGGAAACCATTATAATTATGTTGTTTTGTTCAGTAGCATTTAGCAGTTTAGCCGCTGCAGGCCACGATATCCGAAATGTCTCTGCGCATTTGTCATATTTACTTATGCTCACACTAACTTTCAGCGCATATTATTGTCAATCCGAGTTTTTGATGATCTTTGTTGTCCAGATGATAGGTAAATGACGCTTCAAAATATACTGTTTTGCGAAAAAGACCACTACTTTGCAATGGAACTTTCATACGTGGAACATTCATAAATGCATGGCTATTGAATTTGATGACTACGCAGCAATTGAGCACTTCAGTTAAGTTCATGTGGTCAGGAAAGCTAATCTTTCGACCTTTCAGTAATCCTAATGAACCTCGTGGTCCCGCTCTCCGAAGAGGAAAGGCGTCGGAGAGAGCTCATGCCCTGCTGAGAATTACCTCTGGGGCTTCTCCCACGATCCACTTGCAGTCGGGTGAAAAGGCTTCGGGGCCGTTACAAAGCCGTTCCAGCACGGCGTCTCCTAAGCTGGGCAAGCGATGGAGCATTTGCTCCAGTAAAACGTGGAAATGGTCCCAGTCTTCTGGCAGGATTCGCTTTTCTGATGTCTCTAAAAAGAGATGGATTTATAAGAATTGACTCATTGACTTCAAAAGTATTTAGAACTCTACAGTAATACTTTAAAAATTTAATTTGATTGTTATTCAAAACGTGAACACACCATCTTCTAATCAAAATCTCATTACATAACAAATGATAATTTATGCAATGTTCACGTAAGGCACACCAGAAACTCCATATGTGAATATATGCAAGGCATTCATTCCTAGATGTGATTGTGTGAGAACATACGTGCATGAGAATATGAGGTCGGTCCTAAAAAGAGAGTCAAGTCGTGATCTTAAGAGCACGCACGCTTGATTGGATAATCGACGGCGGAGGAAGGATACAGGAAATTCAGTCAAAGCGAATGAGCAGTGTCGAGGCTATGATTTGGTATTTATAGATCGAACATTGCAGCAGTGCTACGCGTGAAAGTTTGCCTTAAGTACACTGTCGAGACGTTCGACACAATGAAGACAGTATACGGCCACGATTCTTTAGATCGCGATCGCGATCAAATGGCAAACAGATCGCGAGTGATCAAATGGCACAAAGCCTTTACGGAAGGCCTGGAAGACGTGATTTGCAATAAACGGCACAGGAGCCAGTCGGCGATGGTCACTGAAGCTAACGTTGATCGTGTGCAAGATTTATTGAACATGGATCGGCATTTAAGTGTTCGCATGATTACAAAAGATGCAAGTTTCAAGTACGTTTCGTCATCAAAATCCTCCAGACTGCAAAACTACGCCCTTCACGTGAATCTACTGACTGTGACATCATGGGTGCTTGATCACGACAACTCTCCGTTGTACACATCGCTCATTGTCACAGAAGGTTTGACCGTAAAAAATCATAATCAAGCTTGCCCAGCTCCCGTAAAGCCCCGATCTCTCTGCATGCGGCACCTTTCTATTTCTGAGGATGTTGAAAGGAAGTGGTGAAACGAGGTGAAATGGCGCCCAGGCAAGCCTTTCCCTCCCTCCCCCAACATGGACATTACAGCGCTCATGTTAGTTCATTGTTGGCAAACGCAGTTTCGTTCCGAAAGTATCTTTGGACAGGAACAAAAGAACAATTAAACAAAAATCACACACATTTCATTATATAACGATAAGAATTGCAAATGTTTTTGTGAATATGGATGAGGATATGGATTTCAGGCAGTAGACATTATGATTTTTCTACATTGCAGTTTGTCATTTTCAATCTGACATTGAAGTACGGCGTTAATAAACCAATCATTCAAATGTCACTGTTTCTTTCATTTGTGCAAAACATACACGATGGTTTCTCCAGTTTCACGGAGGCTTATTCTCCCAGATTTCCAGTGCTTGGCTCCAGATTCCCTTCCTAGTGTCGCCTGATGATCGGAAAATACAAGGGAACAAAAACAAAATACATTCTAATTTGCTGAAGAATAAACTAACCATCGTCTAACCTCTTCTTCTGAACCATGTTCCAATTTTCATTAGAACCAACTTGAATTTATTTAACATCAAGAAGTTAAAACTGGGTGCATCAAATACAGTTAAAACCTACTATGGGTAAAAAGGTATTCTCTGCAAGTTTTCTTAAAATCAGGTTTCGTTACATTCAGGGATCACTATCGCAACAAATTGAATTCTGAATGCTGATGGAAATGAGTGTTTTTGGCCAAAACACTCGTTCAGGGAATAATTTGCACAGGCATATCGGCAACAGATTTCGACCATTGTGCAGCGGTTTGTCAGAAGAAATGGATTATGAGAGTTCTGAATGTATTTTGATCCTACTTTTATTCTTTCGACTTTCACTCCATCAGATTTGGCTATTTTTCCAGTGAATTCTTCATAACTCAGATGATTGATGCGAGAGAAATTTATCATTAATAAACTGACTGAGTTAAAATTTCATTGGACTGAATCAGCAGTCATATTTCTTGAAGGTCAGGATGAAACCTCCAGTCCTGTAGCTTCCCATTTGTAAAGAAAGACCTTTAAACTTTTCTTGATTTCTGGGTATCTACAGATACTTCCTTTAATCTTTCAGACTCGAGTTCCACTGTTATTCTTTTCTTTTCAATAATCGATACATTACTTTCTCTATTGGAAAACTCATTAACCTTCTTCTTCTGCTTCTGTGAGTTTCTAAGCGTACGTGAGCATGCGATGTGAATTGTGAAAAACAGAGTTCTTAATGGATGAGAGTGTAGTTAGTATTAGGCGAGTAGCCCTTCATTCATCGAACAAAGGTCTAGAAGCTCCGTGGCATTTCAGAGGGTAATAGGCCCTCCCTTTAATTTTCGTTCGATACAATAGGGGAAGAGGTAGGAATACGAGAAACCTTTTTTTGGGGACCTACAAGGTGCCAGAATAACCGTAACTAAAAGTGAATTGCGGTTTCTTAGCACATTTCATATAAAATATTAGCCTAAACATTGTGGAACTAATATGTTTTATGTAATATTTAATTTAATATTTAATTTTTCTAAATAGTGTCACTACCCTACCAGTGAATTTGAAACTCAGGTACGAGACAGTACTATTTTAGAGAGCAAACACATGGAGTTGTTACAAATCGGCTTTTGACGTACACTGTGTACAATATGTATAAATACGTATTTGCAAATTACTTGGTTTTACAATAATTAAAAAAATTAGACTGCACTCCCGGGACCGGCACAATCACTGTAGGCCCACATTCCGCACAAGGTACACTGAATCTAAAATTCAGTCTACAATCTGTAGAAAATTGAGTCATTAAACAGTCAAGTAGTAATATGAGACGGTCTCATAATGCTAACAATCAAGTGTCTCATATTATAACCACTATGTCATCTTGCATTTTGCCAACATATCGTACCGAATATTACATTTCTTTCAAATCCTGTGATATTAAAAACTGCAATATTTGAATGTCAACTTACCTCCTATATTTGTTGGTATATCACAAGATACGTTGAAGAAAATTGCACTTCAGTGCAGGGCTACAAAAACTTTTCACAACACTACTAACTACAAATGTTCACATCGGGAGACTTACAAGACTGAAGTGACCGACCAATTGACAATGCAATGATAATGCTAGACAACGCAGTTGTAGTCATTCGAGAAATGTCAATACTATACAGGGGCGAAAATCTTGCTATCTCATATTTCTACCACTTCCCCCTACGTGTGGAAATGAGCTTCGTTGGCAAACACGTTGTGTGTCGTTTGTTCTACTAAATGTCAGATTTACATCTACATACGATAAGTTATTCCTGATCTGAGAGGGAGTGATGTATATTAAGACGCGATACACACGGCGCCTGCGCAAAAATATCTGCGGTTACTATAATCCGAAGAAAGGATTGGTTTCCATCGCAGTTTATAGCCCACGGGAAATTCCACGGTTTCTTCAAAATCTTCTTCACCGACAGATAATTCCGAAGACATTACTTTACTACCTTTTTTTGAAGATCAGTGGTTATCATCCATTTGTTCCAGTTTCATCTAAGAGAGTTACCACAGGGCTATAGTGTGTCATTCCTGATTAATTTGATTTGCCAAAATTGAAAGAGAATAAGTAAATATTCATTTAGTGAAGTTGAGTAAATATATCAATGGACAATCGCATCTGTACTCGGTTGGTAATTGAGCAAAACCTAGAGTTAGCAATAGCGTGTTTTCTTGTTATGTTTAAAGAACAGCCAAGAGGTGTCATGATTAGAGGGTGATGAATTTAATTGGATGCATGATGTAGAGTACGATTGCAATTGTGTTTCCTTTTTAGTCTCTTAAATGTTTTGCGTTGTGAACACAGCAGTGGTTTCTTTTCGTGAGTGAGAGACGTGAAAAAGACTCCCTCCCTATCCCGTAGAGAATATAAATTTGTCCCTTTAGGAGCGTAGTTGCAGGTGCTGCGCATATCCCCCCCCCCCCGCACGCACCCACTGCGACGTCGGCGGCAGTCAGGAACGTCACGGTAATAATTACGTACTATACTTGTACAAGTTTCTAATTACGAGGAGCATACAGAAAGTAAGTTTCCGTAGATCAATAAAAAGAAAACAATTTCAAGGAAAAAAAGTATTGTACCGTGTACAGCGCATGTTGCACTATTTGTTCGCATAATCACTACCACAATTGGGACGTGTGTAATACCGTGGAATCAAGACTTGTATCCCTGCGTAGAAGTTGGCCGCCTGAGGTAGGTACTTAGTTCGTAAGATGTGTTCGTAGGCTTCCGCGGCCAGTGCCATTGGATACTTGGCTGTACTGCAGTATAGCTCTGAAGACGGCCACAACACGATGGCCGAAACGTCAGCTCAATCGACTGAGACGCGGCTCACCCTGGACAACCACGTATTCAGGTACTTAGTTCGTTTAGTATTGATTGACACTTCCCATATAACTTCTACAAAGTAGCACTTCGAAATATGTGTCAATGTATGCGTGAAGATAGACTACTGTACTGTCTACAGCCACCGAATGGTAAGCTCATTGCAACAGTAAATGTTGCGGCTTGCCAGTAAGCTAGTGGACATTCATAAAACAACGTGGAAGCAGACACGTATGGGCTACGGTAGGTAATGTGGTTTCTCTGGAAGGAAGGAATGACAGCCATACAAGGTTAGTAGTCATATGTGGGGTGTCATCACAAGGTTGCAGATCCAGGTTTCATTCGGTAGCAGAAATAAAAGACGACAGAAGCTGAAAAACACAAACGCACTAGGCGTCCTGCAACAGCACGCCAACCAACCCAAGCTCAGAGCATCAATGACGTGATAATGACGAACAGGCGTTTGATGAACGAGAAGGCAACAGGTATTATCACGGGGACCCTCCACACCATCATCAATGAGGATTTGAAGATGATGCGTGCACAATGAGGGCACCATACTCTCACCATTGCGCAGAAACAGAAAGTGTGGAGATGAGCCAACAATCAGTGCAGATCCAGCGGAGAGTTTTCAGTTTCTGGTGACCGTCGACGAATCATAGATCTTCCATGGGACTCCAAATTCTCAATATTCGCCTAATC